TAAAATAAAGTATCATGAGGACCCATTTTAAGTCTAATTAAGACCCATTTTAAGAGTAATTAATCAAAAGCTACAAAACAAGTCTTGACATATTGAGGCCCTTTATTTTTTTAATTAGAGTAATGCTAGCTACTACAACGAATTAACCACAGAATTCCAATGTCTTTAAACAACCAAAAGTTTATTTTTTAAATCATGTAACAGTTCATTGTTGGTGTTGCTGGCTGGCAGGTGGGCTGTCTTCTACATATTGATTCTGTGAGTCTTGGGTCCAGATTCCTGGTCCTTCCCAACTAGCTCTCAGTCAGAAAAAGGAGGTGACAAGGTAACTCACTTCTTAACCATGTTCACCTTCAATTTACACATCTATTCACAATCTGTTTGCAAGAATGAACAACACGCCTAGTATAAAAGAGGCTGGAAAACGTGGTTCCTGTCTGGGTAGCTGCTTCTCAGGAATAATTTATACTTTGGAAAGAGGAACACAAACTTTTGGTGGGTAGTTAATTGTCTCAGCCATAAATCTACATCTCGGAAAACTATTATAAAACATGATTCACTGAGATGTTGCATTAACTTAGTGTTCTATAGACCCAATTCTGAGGAAAATAATATAATTTTAAATGAAATTTAAAATACTTCTACAGTTGACCCTTGAAGAAGGGTACAGTCAAAACTCCACATATAACTTGTGACTCCATCAAAACTTTACTAATAGCCTTACCAAAAACATAAAGTCAATTAACACATTTTGTATGTTATATGTATTACATACAGTATTCTTACAATAAAGTAAGCTAGAGAAAACAAAATGTTACTAAGAAAATTAGAAAGAATATAAAATACATTCATTGTTCATCAAGTGGAAGTGGATCATCATAAAGGTTTTCATCCTCGTCATCTTAATGTTGAGTAGGCTGAGGAGGAGGAAGAGGAGGGGTTGGCCTTGCTCTCTCAGGGGTGGCAGAGGCAGAAGCAGAAGAGACAGGAGAGGCAGGCACACTCAGTGTAACTTTACAGAAATACATAATAATTTGATTGTTTTGCTTTTTCATTTCTCTAAAATTGCTTCTATATGGTAGCAATCTTTCTTCCACTGTTTAGTTTCAGTGCCCCTATCATGGAGAGGTCCATGTCATAAAAGTCAAAAATAGTCTTGAATGATTGGAACCTTCAGCCAGATTATCTAATGTCAATTTGTTGTCTGGCACTGCTGCTTCTACGTCCTCTTCCACATAGACTGGCACACGCTCAGAAGCACCCATCTCCACTGAGACGTCTTCTGTTACTTCCTCTGGTCTATCAGCTCTTTAATTTCTCCAAGATCCAAATCTTGAAACCCTGCACCGCCACACCGCCCTCCCCAACTTTTCTGCCATTATCCAGAATCTTTCATGATTTCCTTGATTTGTTCTGTTGTAAATCCTGTGAAGTCATGTACTACATCTGGACCCAGTTTTCTCCAGCAGGAATTTGTTGTTTCAAGCTGGATGATGGCTCTATCTTCAATGATGTAATCCTTCCAGACTTTCGTAATATTCTATCGGGATTCTCTTCCACAGTGTTGGCAATCCTTTCCATAGAGTACTGTGCATCCCTAATCTGCAGGCTGAATTAGAAACACTGTGTTTGGGGACAAGCCTTTGGTGTTGAACTCACAAGGTTCTGGGTCACTGTCCAATATCAAAAGAACTTTGAAAGGCAATTCCTTACTGGCAAAGTACTTCCTGATTTCAGGGACTAGGCACTGATGGAACCATTCCAGAAAAAAAGGTTCCTGTTGTCCAAGCCTTCATTTTGTACAACCAAGACTGGCAGCTTGTGTTTACCTTTTCCCTTCAAAGCTCAAGGATTGGCTGGGCACAGTAGCTCACTCTGGTGATCCCAACACTTCGGGAGGCCCAGGCGGGAGGATGGCCTGAGGCCAGGAATTTGGGGCCAACCCGGGCAACAAAGCTCAAGGGTTAGCAGCTTACTAGATGATGGTCTTCCTGATCATAAACCCGACTGCATTTGCATAAAACAGAGTTAGTCTATCACTTCCTGCCTTAAATCTTGGTGCTCACTGCTCTTCCTTACTAATAAATGTCCTCTGCATTTTTTTTTCCAGAATAGGGCACTTTGTCTACATTAAAAACCTGTTCAGCGCCAGGCATGGTAGCTCACACCTGTAAACCCAACACTTTGGAAAGCTGAGGTGGGAAGATTGTTTGGACCAGTTTGAACCAGGAGTTCAAGACCAGTCTGGGCAAAATAGTGAGACCCATCTCTACCATACAACGCCCTCCAGCCCCTAGAAAAACCAAACCAAAACAGTGGGACATGGTGGTGTGCATCTATAGTCCCAGCTACTTGGGAGGCTGAGGTGGGAGGATTACTTGAGTGAGGGGTTCAAGGCTGCAGTGAGCCATGATCACACCACTGTACTCCAGCCTGGGCAACAGAATAGAAACCCTGCCTCAAAAAACAAAACAACAACAACAAAAACCCTGTTAAGGCAGGTATCTTTTCTCCTCAGTGATTTTCTTAACAGTATCTGGGAACTCATCTTGTTGATCTACTGCCTCTTAGTCAACAGAAGTTGCTTCTCCTGTTATACCTTGACATTTTAAAAACCAAAACTCTTTTTTTTTTTTTTTTTTTTTTTTGAGATAGAGTCTTGCTCTGTTGCCTGGGCTAGAGTGCTGTGGCATTAGCCTAGCTCATAGCAACCTCAAACTCCTGGGCTCAAGCAATCCTCCTGCCTCAGCCTCTTGAGTAGCTGGAACTATAGGTGCTTGCAACCACACCCGGCTAATTTTTTATTTCTATTTTTAGTTGCCAGGCTAATTTTTTCCATGTTTAGTAGAGATGGGGGTCTCACTCTTGTGCAGGCTGGTCATGAACTCCTGACCTCAAGAGATCCTGCTGCCTTGGCCTCCCAGAGTGCTAGGATTATAGGTGTGAGCCACCGTACCCAGCCTTAAAAACCAAAACTCTTTCTCAAATTATCACGCAACCCTTTGCTGGCATTAAATTCTCTAGCTTTAGATCCATCACCTTCCTTTAGCTTTAAGTTATCTTTTAATGGCTTCATTTTTCTCTCAAATCATACTAACTTGTCTAAGCATGCCTTTCTTATAGCAATCCTGCACCCATATAAAAGCTTCATTTTTAACATGAGATAAAAAGGTATTCCATAAAACGTGTAAAATTTTGCACTGGCTGGTGTAGCTACAGCAACAGTTTCACAAATTTCCTTTTTTTCCCCAGTGGTCCTTATGCTGGATTCATTTATCTTGAAATGGCAGGCAATGGCAGCTGTAGGCTTCAATCTAAGGTACATATCAAGCAATTCAACATTTTCTTGTAATGCCATGGCTTTTCTCTGCTTCTTAGGAGCACTACCAGCATCCCTAATGGCACTTCATATGGGTCCCATGGTATTATTCAAGGTTTACAATATTGTATTAAACATGATGAAAAATATGTGAAAACCTCAAGAGATCACTTTATAATGAGATATGCAATTTATTGGAGAAATGAACTGCTCACACAGAGACGCTTAGCACCATACAGTGTTTTAAGGAGGTACCTGCAACACCGAAGGTATATTTTCGTAGTTATTACAATAGCACAATATGTATACAGTTAATTTTATGCAGTTATGACTTAATATTCATCTTTACATTTGTTTACATTTCTCTTAACTGTGAATGGTGTCCTGTACTGTCTGAAGTGTTTGAATATGTAAGTTTTAACAAATTTTAACTTTTTATAATAGCTTTATGTATATTTTATGGTAGTAAATGGTGAAATAGACTAGTATCCACATATACTTTATGTATTTATGACATACCTTTTTCTTAATTTTTTCAGAATTTCTATGCTATGTGGTTCATCTGCAAGTTTTTCAAATTGTCACAAATCTCCATAAAAAATTTCCAACATAATTATTTAAAATAATCTACATATAAGTGGGCTGGGCGCAGTGGCTCACGCCTGTAATCCTAGCTCTCTGGGAGGCCGAGGCGGGCAGATTGTTTGAGCTCAGGAGTTCGAAACCAGCCTGAGCAAGAGCGAGACCCCGTCTCTACTAAAATTAGAAAGAAATTAATCGGACAACTAAAAATATATAGAAAAAATTAGCCAGGCATGGTGGCGCATGCCTGTAGTCCCAGCTACTCAGGAGGCTGAGGCAGAAGGATCACTTGAGCCCAGGAGTCTGAGGTTGCTGTGAGCTAGGATGATGCCATGGCACTCTAGCCCAGGCAAAAAGAGTGAGATTCTGTCTCAAAAAAAAAAAAAAAAAAAAATCTACATATAAGTGGACCTGCACCATTCAAACCTGTGTTATTCAAGAGTCAACTGTACTAGATTTACAGTGAAGAAACCAGAAAGCTAAATATTTCCCTAAATCTGGTCCTAAAATAACTATTAACACTGTGAGAAAATCCTGGAGATGAGGTGCTATCTCTTTGTAGCTAAAACATATTGAGTAAGACATATAAAGTAAAATGACTCCATATTTAATAGGCAATTATATTGCTGGTGCAACAAACAGCTAAAAATTTAGTGGCTTAAAACAACATGAACTCTATCAACCTTACAATTCTGCAGGGTAAATGTCCAACACAGGTCTGTCTCATTGGGCTTAAATATCAAAGTGTCAGCAGGACTACATTCCCTTTTGGAGGTTCTAGGGGAGAATCCGTTCAATGCCCTTTTCAGCTTCTGAAGACTGCCCATATTCCTTGGCTTGTGGTCCCCTCCCTCATCTTCAAAGCCAGCAACAGCAGGTTGAATCCCCACATCACATCACTCTGACCTCTTCTGGTGACCCCTTCCATTTTTAAGGCCCCTTCTAATTACGCCCCCATGGGCAATCCAAGCTAATCTCCCTATCTTGAGGTCAGCTAATCACAACCTTAAATTCCATGTACTACCTTAATTCCCCTTTGCCATATAGGGTCACATAGTCACAGGTTCTGGGGATTAGAACACAGACACCTTTGGAAGGCCATTACTCTATCACAACTATAATTCTATGTATAATTTTCGTATTGTCATTCAAAGGTAATTGACAGCTATCATAATGAGCTTGAAATATTGCAAATAGCTTCTGATTTATAGATTTAAATAAATCATGTTAATGGCCAGAACAGAACCAAATAGCATAAATTTTACCAAATAGCAAAGACAGTAAATTCATCTCACCCTTTCTAATTTTTCAGGTATAAGTTCTTCCTTAAGACCACTGGTTTCTTCCTCTTCATCATCTCTTTTCTTCTTTTGATTTTTTTGTTGACGTTCCCTTTCCGCATGCTTTCTCTCTTCTTCTAATTTAGCCTTTTTCTGAGCTCTTCTCTGCTTGCTAAGCATTTTTTTCAATTCTTTGGCTGACAGGTTTTCTACAGATATCCAAATGAACAAAATCCTAAGTCAATGTTTGCATTTTCCCTCATATTCTTCTACAATACATGCTATTAGTACAGTTGTCTCTCAGTATCAGTGGGAGACTGGTGCCAGGACCCGCCAAGGATACCAAAATCTGTGGAGGCTCAAGCCTGTGATATAAAATGGCATAGTATTTGCATATAACCTGTGCACATCTTCCATCCTCCCGCAGTACGCTTCAAATTATCTCTAAATCAGCTTTAGATCTTTCACCTTCCTTTTGCTTTAAAGTTGTCGTATAATGACATCCTTTTTTGGTGAATCCTATTAAAGTCTATACGTATGCCTAATACAATGTAAATGCTATGTAAATAGTTGTTATACTATATTGTTTAGGAAAAAATGACAAGAAAAAAGTGTGTATGTTCAGTACAGATGCAATCATTTTAAAAAATATTTTTGACCTGTGGTTGCTTGAATCCACAGATGTAGAACCAACTGATACAGAGGGCCAACTGCATACCTTTTTTTTGGCTGGGAGAGGGGAGGCAACTACATACAAGTTTTTAGAAAGTGTATTCGCAGTGACTAGCACAAAACCTGGCACACAAAAGGCAACCAGTAAATGCTGCATTAACCAAAACTAACCTAGCCCAGTTCTGTCTCTTACATAATACATGACGTCAGGCAAATCACTTCAGCCCTCTCAGTGTCAAGTCCCTAACTGCGTAAAGTGGGGCTGATATCACCAACTCGCCTCCTCTTGGAATATTCCAAGGATAAGTGAGAAAATGCACATAAACACCTATGATAAACACTATACAAAAAATTAGAAATGTGCTTCCATGCTATTTCAAAAATATTCCTAGACGTTAACATTCTAGTGAATAAAAAGCTGTGCAGATATTTTCACTGTTCCCTAAGTGGCTCAAAGCTGTTTTTAATTACAATTTATAAAAAAAGAAGAAACTAAACCAGCCCATAGACATTTATTATTTTTCCTAAACTGGTCTTTCTGAAAATAACAGTAAGAAAAACTGCACGTCATTCCATTAGGGTAATTTAGAAGCATCAGCTACAGATCATCACCTTCCTTTTGTTAAGTCCTCCCCTCACCTCAGACACTTTTATTTTTTGGCATTATCAGTTATCTAATGTTTGTCTTCATATCGACCTGACAATATACTTTTCCATGTACTGTTTACACCAATGACATTCTGAAATTTAGTGTTCTTTTCAGATCTTTTTAAGAAAGTTCTTTTTTCAGTTACCTGAATTTATTTCTTGTTGTTTGCTTTCATTGGTTAAGGGATTATCAAACAATTTCAAATATATTTCAATCGCTGATCTAGCAGCCTTGAAATAAAAGGCATGTCTTCTGAGTATGTCTTCTAATCTCAGAAGGTCAACATAGGCACGAAGGGTCATCTTTCTCATGCAGTATGTATGGAAGTCAAATTGATCATCAGTTATCTCAAAAAAATGCTTAAAAACAAAACCACAAAATTATCTCTTACATATATGTCAATAATGTCAACCTTTTGAAAGAAAATCATAAGAAGCCCCCAAAACAATTTAACCAATTACAATTTCACACAGTTGCCCTCTCCCATGTCCTATAAAGGACGTCAAGTTCTTTGCATTCAAGTTCTAGAGTTTCTTTCCTACAAATCATCTCCATTCCCTATAAATGTTTTGTGATGACATTCAAATTCGATGTGGTAGTCAAAAGATCAGGTTTTTAAAACAAACATATTGATATTTTAGTTTTAATGAATTGTCTCTCCTCCATATTCCCTAAAAACTAGCACGGCAGAGTTTAACAGAGCTCTGAATAAA